GAATTACTTGGGCTAATATTTACTTGGAGACTCCTCATACCAAAGAAACCTTTTCATAGATTTTTGACGGGTTTTTCGTTTACATGAACCGTTTACGAAATTTTTAACAAGAACAAAACTATTCTCCCAATGCTGCAATATAGCAGGGATAAATTCGCGTCGGTGCGGAAGTCGCCTCGCTGCCCCATGAACACCCTCGCGATGACTGGTTACCTGATTATTTCATATGAACGAAGTTATGTTTGATTCGAACATGACCATGTTAGGTTGTCGGATTTTGTAGTTTCAATGTTTGGTCAGTAAGCATCGATAGGGACTGTCTTGAAGTAGTTAACACTGACTTTGATTATTCAGCTCGACTCTTCAGTTCTAGATGAAAAACATAAATACATTTGTTTTTCTAAAATATTGAAAATCACTGCAAAAGAAGATCAGTATTTTACAAACACCGTGCACGCGAAAGTCAAATTTTCATAAGTCGCGCTGTCTTAGTACTTTCGCTGCTTCTTTTTTTCTTCATTTTCTTTCTCAGTTTTTCTTCTTAGCAAAACTGACTCTCATTGAGAATGGTGATGATCGGTTACCTGATTATTACATATGCATTATTGACCAAACCTAAAGTCAAGATAACTGAATTTTGGCCGAGTTCTTTTTTGCGTTCTTGACCAATTGACCAAGACGACTTTGAGGTCCATAGAAAAACGGAAAAAGAGGCTAATATCAAGCCATGCTTGGTCAAAAAGGATTTATCATACAGCAAAGAGATTTCGCTTTATTAAGAATCAAGAATAAACTGTTTATTTCGAGAGCCGGTAAACACTCGGCTTCTTTTCATTCTTCTTATAAACTTCGCTTTTGTCAGACGCCACAACTAGAATGCCTTGGGGGTATGATAAACAATTCATTACGAAAACTAGAGCTTTAAACAATCGGCGAGGCTGTAATAAGTCACAAATTTAGAGAATCACTCGGATGTTCAAAGATTGACGGCACAAATACTCTAAATTTTGTCGTATTAATCTTCGATCGGTGTGGTAAGAGTAAGAAGGGTTTGTTTGATCTCAATTGGGAATTATCAATTTTCTGGCGCAACTGCACAAGTTTTATCCGTACGTGTATCATTTTATTGCTAACAGCTTTCATGAACAAACTATTTTTAGTTCCTGAATTCTAAACATTATTCGCTTTGCGCAATGCCTTTGCTTATAAGGAAACAGTTGAATAATTTATTTAGATAGGGACACAGGTGCTTGTTTTTGAAACTTTCATTTCGGTATTACGAAAAATAACGTATATATATAAGTTTGTCTGTCAACAGTTTAGATATGAAGCTCCGTGCCACAACATTGCTGAATTCGCGACTACAAGAAATGGATCAGATTATAACGATGACCGTAATATATATCTTGATAATTTGTGAAGGTGTGGCTTCTTACATGCGCTATTTTTGTCCTTTTGAACGAAGATATGTTTGATTCGACTATGACCATGTTATATTATCGGGTTTTGTAGTTTCAATGTTTGGTCCGTAAGCATCGATAAGGACTGTCTTGAAGTAGCTAACACACACTTTGATTATTCAGCTTGACTCTTCAGTTCTAGAAGAAAACCATATATACATTTGTTTTTTTTTCAAATGAAAGTTTTTTGGAAATTGAGACCAATATTTGACACGCGCCATGCATACGAAAGTCAAATTTCACGAGTCGCGCCATCTTGGTTTTTTTGCTGCTTCTTTTTTTCTTCCTTTATTTTCCTATTCTTTTTTTCTCGGAAAAACTGACTCTTACCGAAAACTCCTCTTCTCCTCTTTTTTCGCTTTTCCTCCTTTTTTCAGAATTGGTTTCACACGATGTCGAGTGTTTTTATTGTTGCAACGTCACAGAAAACGGACGATCCATATGAACTGAACGTTGGGAGTCTAACGATGGAGACCAAAATAATGAAAAACGGGTTCAGTTTGTTTTGAGCACTGAAACAGAATTGCTTTTTTTTTCCTATAACTAAACGCATCGAAAAGGCTCGATGTAGCTCAAAATCCTTCACGGAAAGTCTGACTCGATCATCATCGATATGATACCAAGCGATGACTAAGATCTTAGTTAACACTTAGGTATAACAGCTTGTAGCTTTAAATGACTACTCACAAAACGGTCACTGCTCAATTGAACTACACTCATAAAGTAAACCTGTCTAAAAATAATTTAGGAGGGTTTTGATGTGGTTAAATTTAGCTGTTAAGTGTAAGAATTGACGAATTTTAACCTTAAGTCATATAAAAGTTAACCGTCAATTTGGTTTTCAATCGCAACGGAAAGAAACTAAACGTTAGCTGTAAAATGGCCAAAATTTTAATCGTCAGTTAGATGTCCACTATTAAATATACTTTGTCGTAAAGGATGTAACTCTTGGAAATGATAACAAGGCATTCTCTCTGATATTTCCATTCAATATACATTTAGCTTTTGTTTTGAACAGCCCTGTTAAATTTTTTCCATTAAGTATCTTTTGGCATAATTTTGAATAATAACAGTAGGACTGAGCTAAACAGTTTTAATTCAGTCGCCAGTGATGCGGGAGGTTCTGTTGCACTTTAAAATACCTGTCACACTTTGTAGTAAAATTGTCGCATTTTCCAATACCTGTGGCACTTTCTATAACACTTGTCACAGTGAGTAACTACAAAATCAACAGCACCGATCATTGTTTCCCTTGGGAGCAGGAAAAAAAAAGGTAATGGTAATTTTCTCGCAAATTTGTGGCCAAGTTACCCAGGTGACGCCATCATTTTTCGGCTACGTATCTCTATCCACTTCGACCCAGAGTCAATTCTTTCTTTCGCCGGTGAAACGAGAGTTAAAGAGCGAAATTAAGTCGAGTGAACAAATCTTTTAACCGAAACGGAACCTGAAGCTGACAATGTTTTAATACAAATTAAACCTTGCTTCTTCAACATGTAAACTGCTGTGTTATCATGTCGACAAGTTTCCTGTTTCTATACTAACGGGGCCGCCCTCAGCCGCCCTTCCGTGCAAAGTCTTGTCAAGTAACTGACAAGCTGAGTAATAAGGATCAGTAGTTAGGAACATTATTCCAGTCGACTTTTGAAATGGTAAGGAAAAGAGGCATTGTATGTGACCTCGGTCCTGAGTTTGACATATTCATCGGTAGAGTAACACATGCAGGTAATTTAGTGTTAACATCTGGGTTGAAAACGTAAATTAGCCACCGTAAAGAGTAAAAAAGCTGACGTTTCGAGCGTTAGCCCTTCGTCAGAGCGAGCGAGCGAGCGTTTTCAACCCAGATGTTAACACTAAATTACCTGCTATACTCTCCCACCGACGCAGCACCACAGTTTCTTTAGAAACTTACCCCTTCATTCAGTGTAACACATGGTCCATCCTCCATTGTGTGACGTCATGTCGCAGTAGGCCAGGAATGCATTGGAATGGCTTGCTCCATCCGGGTCTGACCAGTACATGCCATCTCCCTGTGAGAGATCTCGCTCCTTAATGTCCAAGCAATTTTTTTCAACAAAGGGGCCTGATTATTAATTGAATAGAATTAATTATTAATCTTTATGTAAGGAAAGAGAAATTTCACTTTCTGATTTTCATGTCAGTACATTTTACACCGATAAGGTGAGAAAATGGGTCCCCGTTTGAAAAAATACCTTATGTACATTTAACCGCAAGTTGAGCAGCGGCGAGTGAACATTCATTGCACTTGATTCTTGTGATGTTCAGGTAGGAAAACTGTTCGTGCTTGAAGTTCGCATATGATACACCTGGCTCAGCAAAATCTTGCCGAACACCTTTTAAGGGAAGGAATTACATTCATATTAGTTTTATCAAGCTATGGCAAAATATTCGAGAATGATTTCCTTGAAACACTTTTAGACAGGATAGTGGCTGAGTGTGACCTTACGTAAGAGACGAAAAAAGATTTTTGCAGGATATACCAAGGCAGCGAGGTTAAAATGCATGAGAAACTAAGCACATTACTGAGTTAGCCTGAGTAATTCGGACCGCGGCCCTTCAATCAGAAACAGTTTAAAAGAAGTCAACTGCCGTGTTTTTACTAGGACGCTTCGGGATTGCTTCGTTTAAGTACCTTTTCCCTCCGACCATCTATAGCAAGTTTATTACAAAGTGCGACAAGTATTTTTAAAAAAGGCGACAACTTATTTCTATTATCACAAAGAGCGATGGTCTGTTATTACAAAGTGCGACAGCATTTTTGTTATTCACTGTGACAAGTGTTATAGAAAGTGCGACAAGTATTGGAAGATGCGACAATTATATTACAAAGTGTGACAGGTATTTTAAAGTGCGACAGAACCTCCCGCGTCACCGGCGACTGAATTAAAACCGTTTAGCTCAGTCCTACTTTTATTATTCAAAATTATGCTTAAAGATACTTAGTGGAAAAAAATTAACAGGGCTGTTCAAAACAAAAGCCAAATGTAAATTGAATGGAAATATCAGAGAGAATTCAGCAAGTTGTAATTTTCAGAATTCTACCGGAGGGGATGAGGATTCTTAAAACCAAAAAAATGCTCTGTTATCAGTTTCAAGGGCTACATCCTTTACGACAAAGTATATTTAAATCATTAGTAACAAAACAGTCACTCCTAAATCGAACTACACTCACGAAGTAGACCTGCCTTAACTTTCTGTTAAGGACTTTTGAGCTATGTCGAGCCTTTCCGGTGCATTTAGTTATAGAAAAAAAACAAATTCTGTTTGAGTGCTCATAACTACCCGTGAACCCGCTTATCATTATGATCGTCCGTTCTCCGTGACGTTGCAACAGTAAAAACACTCGACATCGTGTGAAAACACTTCTGAAAAAAGGAAGAAAAGCGAAAAAATAGGAGAAGAAGA